TGGGCCAGCTAGCAACACAGCCCGTCCTGCCTATTTTTTTCGATTTTATCATATCGACAACAATGCCAGCTAGACCTAGTAAAAAAAAAAAAAGAGAATGCTACATTTAATAATTTTAATCATATATTATAATTTTTTTATTTGGTTAACATGAGCCATTTGGAAGTAAAATTATTAGAAGAGAATTTTGATACAGAATTCTACACAAGTTTTACTTTTATTTCAGACAAAAGTAGAGAAAACAGATATACAAGTAATAATGCAATTCTGATACTATTATCATTTCTAAGAAAATGCTAACCTCTCGCGCCGTTTCTTGGCCCACGAGACCGGCCGCGCTTTGAATGGCCATGCCATTTTCGTCGAGACCGAGTCCTTTAATATGTGTATGCGCGGAGATTCTCTGAGTCTTAGCAGTGCTCTTTACTTCTTCAATCTTCATCGTTATAACTTTATTTTGCAAAATTATAGCAAATTTAAAACGATGAAATCGACTGCGCTTGTTTGATTGATACACGCGTTTCCTCACAACGTTATTCACGTTGTTTGAGCAGCGGGTATTTCCGCCATTGGCGGAAGTCAAATATATAGCTTTGCGGAAATTGCACACTGCACACTGCGGAACTCAAGCTGATTCCATTTATTGATTTACTTAGCCCGATATCTCGCAAATTATATTTACAGTGCAATATTAAGAGATTAAGAGATAAGTTTAAAGATGATAAATATATTCCGAATAGCTGTAAACTGTGAAAAGTATATTTGCCATCAATGAATAATATTTAATTATTACAGATTTGTCTGTTAAAAAGTCCGCGTCTAGCAATTGATACATTTTTCTAAAGCTAGATGTCTCATGGGATAATAGCAGTTTCTCGGTAGTGCTTTATGCAGACAAATTTACTATATAAGGTATTCTGGAGACCCTACTGTCGGGTCTGGTGCACCTGGGAAAAAGCTAACGATGAATCACTTAATTTGAAAGTTGCCGCTAATTTCAAGACAGTTTCAACTATCTCTGCCCAAGGTGTGACGGTGACCCTTTTGTTGCCAGGTGTTTGATTCAAGCGATCTTTTTTGTATTAATTTTAACGTTAATTTGCATTTGTTTTGCTTATACTATTGTATAATTAGCTTTTTTGTTTTAATCAATCTCCTTGTAATTTAATAACTTTTTTTGACCACTTTTAGACATTGTCTATAGAAAGAAACATTCTGAATTAAACAATAACCAAAACTAATTATAATATGAAAAATTGCGTTTCAATTTTTGCTTATCTACGTGTTAGAATTCAATTACAATTAGAATTATATGAAAAACATTTGATATCATTACATGTAATGGGGATTAGAAAAGTTTGGGACAATTTGAGAGTAATAAATAATTGTTTATTATAATATAGACTTTTTAGACTTACAAAATATTTTTATACATTATTAAGTATCACGACTGATTTTCTTCAAAATTTCAAGTTTCTTTGATCAACTATTTGCTCTGAAATAGAATCATACTTTATACAGAGGTTTTATTTCTCTATCCTCAAACTGGGGTGCTATGACCTGGTTATCTTTTATCTGGAAAAAAAATATAATTAAATACAAAGTATTAGCAAAGAGACATTGTATATAAAAGCTAGACACTTACTTTGACATGAGCGTATGACACAATTCCCATTAAAGTCAAAGTTATACCAATAACTTGATTTATCGCTAATGTTTCATGGAAAAGCATTGCACCCCCCAACAAAAGAAGGCAGAACTTGGAATGACCAACCATGTTATATCTAAACATTTTGTTAAAGGATACAATGCAAGAATTTGTAAATTGTTTGTAACAATTTTACCTAAATTTGTAATAATTTTACATACGTTAAAGGCGAAGTCTTTCCTATAATCCAGTAGGAAGTTAAATTCACGAAAAATGCCACTACACCTGAGAACACCACCATGGTCTGTAAAAAATGATATGTAAAGATATTACATATTTATGTTCGATCAAATAATATTAATAAAAATTTTTCAATAACATACTACGTCTAACAGCGACCAGTTGTGTGTGAAGGTTTGTCCAACTGGTTCCAAAATTGGAACAACAATCAAGAGCATAACAGCAGACAATGGTGCTTGATAAAATAATAGTTGCATTGGATCCATTTGAAATTCTCTCTGTTTTCTGTTCACCATCTACAAAAAATATGTATAACCAGCTATATGTCATAGTTATTCCTAAGTTCAGGCATAAATTCTGACTTTTATGTTTATGTAAAAATAATAAATAAGACACACAACATACAACTTGATACAGAGATGTTACAAGCACTCCTAGTGTTGCATAAATAGTTCCAATGATGTTGAATTGTATATCGTAATAAAAATTGATTATGACTCCCAATGTAATCGGTATCAACGTGAGCTTAACAAGCATGCTAAAACGCTTCTTATAAAATATTATTTGCATTACTATCACACAGGGTGTTGTCAACATTTTTGCCATCTGATAAGTTCCAACTGTGTTATGAGCTAAACTTAAATTGGTCAGAACGACAAATCCGCAAAATGTCATTGCAATTAGTATCATCTGCTTAATGTCGATGTCCTTAACACAGAAGACGTCTAACTTCTCGCAGATTATTAAACCGATAAATGTAATAACAAAGTGTATCATGGACAGTGTAATGTTCGGAAAACGGGTGTGAATGTAAAGCCATTTGTTCAATAGTACAATCACAATCGAAAAGATTACATTTAGCAACAAATAAAACGCAACGACCACTTTCTTGTTCATCTTTGAAACCCAGTATTATACTTGTTTAAACTAAGAATTTCGGTAAAATAATAAATGACGTTTAATATTTTAGTTTATCTCAAACGTCATACATGTCAAATTCTGATCGCGACATTATTCCAGATAATGGATTATTAATTAATATAACTACGGTCGCTCCATTAAGATTTATTCATTTCTTTGTCTTGTAACCCCTAATTTGCACATATCTTTCAATTGATATGCCATGTTTGAGATGCCTCGAGTAATTCCTATCGCAACAATCACGACTGACGCTATAGACGCTAAACAGATACCCCACATCCCACATGATTCTTGTAATAAATTGTGTATTCTATAGGGTGTCACATGAAATAATTACAAGTAGCAAGATAACCGATTTATCGAGCATCGAGATATCGATAATGATTTGTAATAAAAAAATTTGAATTGAATAATTACAGTGTCTTTTCTTTATGCATTTATGATAAAAATATATTTTGTGACACTGCGATTAGCTAATTTTCCAGTTGTTCCAGTTTTTAGTGATGAATATTTTAGTTGAAAAATTGTCGATATCTCGACGTTGAGCGACCATGATTGTTTCGAGAGAAAATGCGAGTCGTCTGAGACACCTAGTATAAGCATACATAGAGCACGAGTGAGCGCCAAAAACCGTTCGATACTGCTCAAATTTCTGGCGGTTTTTTGTAATGTAAAGTGACAGACAGATAGTTTGAAGTGTTTCTTGAAAGAATTATAACATGGTAGAGTTTCCGCTGGGATATCGCGAGGTCGTGCCGGATCAAACTCTGCCAGAAAAATGGAAAGAAATTACCTTGAATACAGGTGAGCATATTATAACCTCTATTCATTGGCCCGGCAAATCAAAATTTCTCTTACAATATTATATAAAAACACTTTGAAACATTGTTCGTGATAGTGCATATCTAAAATGTTTGTTGAACAAAATATAATAGAATATTTGCAAGTTGAAATATTATTTTTTGTGCATATATTATCTAACCTCTATTCACTTGTTACTCATATTTCATAAATTATTTTGGATTTTTAACACGAATTAAGCGCTAAATGTTGCGAATTTCAAGTATTTGTGTGCGTCAAGTTTACATGTACAATACTTTAATAAAAGTAATAAATAATTATATGATAATATATGTATGATAATCTATATATTATATGATAAAAGTATGTTGTAACTAATAGTATAATTTTATCTTTTGCAGGCGGAAGCCAAAGTACATTGCAAGATATAAAAGTACCAGAAAGAGCAGGTGGCTATTCATACAAAAACTCTTCTAAATATTTTACTCGTAATCGGTTTATTTACTGGCGTATTTGCCATGACGTACTCGAATTAGTTGAGCATAGTCTGGACATTAATCTTGCAAACTGTCGAGTGAGATACAAATTTACGGATACTCCAATCTTGGATGGAATTTCTATTCATGAAACAGTCAATTCTGTCATTATTTTGATCGTCACTGTTTCCAGTGTTCACAAACTTTCCTTTTCTCATCCAGATAAGATTCACAAACAAGTAAGTATGCACGAATCTTGCAATTTGTCTTTGACATAATTATTTTGTTAATAACAATTTATTTTCTACAAGGAAAATTTATTGGGTGCATATACGGACTTTAGTGTACAATCTATATTTAGTGAAGCCTCTGCACAAAGTGCCAGAGATCCTCATACATTTCACATTATTTCTAATGCTGGAACCACAAGTAAGTTTGTGACACAATATTTATTTTTGCTGTTATAATATTTGTATATCACTTATTTAACAGTGCTGTTTTACTTTGCACAGACTCGCCAGTGCCTCATGCAGCAGCATCTTGGCTTATATTACCTCAAGAAGAAGCGTTATTTGCTCTTGCTTACAGTTCAGCTACTATATTACTCCTGAGGCTTGAAACACTCACAGGTTACGTACATACTAATGAACTGAAGCAAGACTCAATAGTGCCCAAGTTTTTGAGTGGCATAGCCACCGCATTTAGAGGTCGCAATATCGAAGCTCATGTTGCTATGTCCCTAGTTATACACAATTACGGTAGCGATACATACCTATTCGCGTTATATCGTGAGGGTAATGTACGCATATGGTCGTGCAACAAGACACAGTGCATAGCTGTGACGGACGCAGCAATCGAGAATCGTGTTGTGTCTCAAGGTGCGCAAGGTCACGTCTTGAGGAAAGCTCTCGGCAACGATAACGAACTGTATCTTGGAATCTTCTTAAAATTCAGCACGGGATGCGAATTCAGCATTCTGAAGTCTGTAGAAGAGAACGGCATATTCAAGTTCGTTAGACTGTGTACATTGTATGCGCCGGATGTAAGTACTTTTATAGATACCTTCGTTTTACTATGTATTTCACTCTAAGACGAATATAACAACTTTATATTATCTCTAAACAGCAACATCTGGTGGATTTTGCATTCACACCCACTAGATTGTGGGCAGTGTGGAGAACGGCGGACATGGATGCCGTGGCAGTGACGCACGCACAATTATCGCTGAATAGCACGCATCGCGTTAATTCCGAATGGGAAACCACGATTTTGGAACAAGCGCGCGACAGAGATTACATCGTGACCGACCCCGGAACTGATCCGAGACAAGCGTACATTAATTACATTTTTCATCCTGGACAATTTTCGCTGGCGGACATCACGAAAGCATTAAGCATCTATAGAAGATCCAACGTATTAGCGGAAATGACCTTCTCACCGGCCGTTTTGAAAGAAAGAGTTTGCATGGCCGTAGAGGCGGAGATGCAGGCAGAAGTGATGGATTACGTGATCATGGACGAAGATTATCTGGAAATCGCCAATCGATGCTGGTCAAAGTTTTACTCGTGTGTCGTGCAGTATCACGCAAATGGCACGCGTCCTGTCGGTTTACTGCTATTACCGAGCGTTTACGGCGTCGTCTTATTGAAGAAGTCTTCTTTCTCGCTTCTAAGACCTATGGAAGCTTTGGAACATCTGATGCTCTGCAACGACAAGTCCTACACCTCTCGTTTTAAAACGACGCCTGTTCTATCGCAGGACGAAGACACGTGCCAAGATCTGATTATTCTAATGTCCGCGTTAGTCATGTTGGGCGAGCAATTGTCTGAAGAGACTAAAACGGAGATGGAAAAGGAACTGTATCATCTGAGAAGTCCAGATATCATAATCGATGATTTGCTGTCGAAGCTAACGTTGGAACCCGACGATCCAGTGAGTATTTTAATTAGCTTCTTGTTTCTCTTCACAGATTGAAAATAATCCGTTTATGTGTTAACAGCTGTCGGATTTCGACTTCCAATCGGAACTCTATCACAAATTGAGCACCGTTAAAGATATATCGGCTGCCATAGCCATGCTGTTGGAAGCGTTAACGTACGATCTTGGACAGCCAAATAAGCTACAATTCGAGGAGGATCACGACGCTTCGAAGACCTTGTTGAACGTCAATCATCTGTTCGGCAGCCAGCTAGGAATTTCCACGATAACGGAAAGCGTGACGCAAATAGCGCTCTTGAGATTCTCCATCTGCAGAGATCTGTTGATCTTGCAACAAATCGTATTACTGCGTCCCGAAATATTTGACTCGAGATCCTTGCACACCATAAGATCGTCATTGGCACCAAGAACCGTTGTACTTACTCAAGCTTACTATGTCGTCACATGGATATGCGAGTCTACAGCAGCATACACTCCTTCACAATCATTACTGTAAGTCTTATCACTTTGATAGTATAAAAGTCATACAAATTGTCTTTGATTGTTATGAAAATGCATAACAAAACGATGAAATATTTGCAGCGAATCCAGCTCCCAGCGTCTTTCAACGTTAAAGCTCACCGATCCGCGAATTAACGTTGGACAAAGGCAGCATCGGTCCATGTCGCTCTTAGAATTGTTTATTCATAGCAGCGGCGCCAAGCACGCTCATATTCTGATGGCCCAAATGAGCATGGATCCGACGAGTCTAATACCTTGGCATTACAGCATGCTGACACATGTGACGCTTATTGCGCAACTTATGTATCCTTTACTTGAATTTTTATTTAGATTGCGTTAAATTTTTTTTATATTTCCTTAAATGACACAAATAGATGGCCAATATCCGGAAACTTTATCTTCCCCGAATGGTTGCTCTCCAGTTGTCAATTCCTGCTCGTTCAAGAATACGTGAGACTTCTGAACACGTGGTGCGAGTGGAACAGCGCCTCGAGGAAATTTATACTAGCGGTTGCCTTGCTCGAGATGGGAGAGATGCAGAAGGCGTGCGACCATTTTCTTCGTGCTTCCAACGGAATTTTGAGTGACGTATTCCTAGCAGACGCTTTACTCGACTCTAATGTGACGTCGGGCAACAACGCTCTGATCCATTATTACCTGAAAGTTATCAAATTGTTCGAGGAACACAGCGCGTCCGACTGTATAATAGAGATCGCCGAAACTGCCATAGCGACCGCCGACGCGGACGATCCGAATTTGCCGACGCTTCATTCTATTATATTCGCGCAACACTTGAGCCTGGGTCACCACACGGAAGCTTATCACTGCTTGAACGCGAACCCAGACGCCGCGCGTAGAGTGGACTGTTTGCGGCAATTGGTCGTTACGCTGTTCGAGAAAAAGCTGTTGATAGATTTAATTTCTTTTCCGTACGTCGACATGTACGAGGATCTTGAGAGAATAGTAGAAGGCAGAGCCAGGAGCGTCGATCTGATGGAAAACAATTATTATAACTTTTTGTACAGCTTCCATGTCAATAAGCAAAACATGCGGAAAGGTAAGTTTCTTATCCGTTTCTGCAACTGAGTATACGTATATATTGTTACTATATATTTTCATGACACTTTTACAGCGGCATCGGTGATGTACGAACAAGCTATGCGTTTAAGCCAAGAACCTCATTCCGCGCCAATTATAGCGAAGCAAGCTCAATGTTTACTAGCGTGCATTAACGCGTTGTATCATGTAAGCGAGAAGTACAGGTGGATTGTAAGACCTGTAGTCGATCAGAGCGTTTCGGACGAGATGAACTCGTCGAATCCACAGAAGAAGAGAAGCATAGACGGAAAAGAGGTGTTGCACTATAAGATAAAGAAGCAAGTCGAAGTGCTCGAGTTGGATGATATCAAGAAAGAATATTATATAGTAGACGCGAGATTAAAGATATCGAAAATAAATTCGGATATGCACATAGTTACACATACTGGTAATTGTCTAATGAAGACTTAATTGTTTAGTGAAATTTTCTATGAGGAAAATACGAACAATTTTGTTGGAACTCAACAAACGAGATCACACCAACATATATATATATATATATTTCAGAACCACCCGAGCTTATTGTCACGTTATGCAGCATTGGCTTGTACACAATGGCGTTACACTTGTGCGACGAATTTAAAATTAGTAAAACCTCTGTGCTTGAGAGTTTGACTTCTCAGTGCATCAAATTGAGCCAACGCGAGGATCCGAATGCCTGGGATTGGCTGACGCAAAACGACATATTTGGTGTGTATAATCATTTGTAATTGTACAAAGAGATCGCGTTTGTACAATCATATCTAATTTTTTTTTCAAAAGCTGTAACACAAAAAAATATTCTTTTCCAGATATCGGAATATCTAATACAACCATAACGAATACGGCTTGGAAATTATTAGAGTACTTTACGTTAAAGCATGAAAAAGATAATAACAGTGAACTGCATAAAGCCGTTGCGCGAAAATTATTGCAAGATGGAGCCTTCCTGCCGCAATGGTTATTAATATCGTACAAAGTAAGTAATTTTTGATCAAATTTATGTAATTTTTCTATGCTATATTCGTAATCTTGTTCGTAATATTACAGAAGCGAAACGCCTCGGAGCTTCTTCGTCTCATGCTGAATAGCGGCCGATTATTGGAAGCCAGTGACTTAGCGATAGATTATATTAACGCAGTATTAGGTTATGGACTAGAGCATTTTGGTCTTAAAACACCATTAGTGGCTATCGCACCGCCAACTTGGTTGCCGTTTAATACTATAGAAGTATTATTAAGTGAACTAGAAGATTTAAATAAGGATTCTGTTTACATAGAGGTAAATTCTAAAATTAATATATCATCATAAAATATACCACGGTAAGCCACATTTTAATATACGTTATAATTTATGTTTTAGAGCTATGAGAGATTAAATTCAACGCTGGAAAAATATCTAGAAATAGCAGAGCGTGTTTCAGAAGCTATGATTAAAAAGAAGATGATGAATGTACACTCCTAGTAGTAAGTAATATATTTATTTATTCATTGTATATAATATTCTTACAAATTTTTAGATATATTATCAGACTCAGTTTATTGTACATATGGAAGAAAGTTATTTACTAATATTAAGCACATAATTATTTGGTTTAAATATCAAGTATAAATTGGCTCATGATTAAGTGATACCAGAGTCGTTACTATGATAATAATAGTGAGGATTGCAGCAACAATAGCGGCTACTGTATGCGGACATCGTTTGAACAATACCTATAATCGTCGTTTAAAATTCCAAGTTTTGATCCATCATTTAATTAAATAAAAATTGTAATTGCAATAAACTTATAGCATTACCATCAACAAAACAACTATTCCAAGAATACAGATAGATCCGACTGGCAGAAAGAAGGATGCAGTCCAATAATGTCTTGACATTTCAGGATCTATAATAAAAAAGAAATTAATGTTACTTTGAATTCAATTTATACAATTTTGATATATTTCACTATATATAGTGAAACAAAACTCGCCTGCAAGCCAATTTTGGTAAAATTTATTGTAAAAGAGAACTGGAAATTTTGTTATAATATCTGTGTTTTTTGCAATTACAGAATCTGGCAAACTCTGTGTGTCTACTGTTTGCGTATCACCCCTCAACTGGTCTCCTGTGATGTACATACTTGTATCAGATTATGTTATCAGTATGGTAATTGAAATAGTATCAAATTTTATTACATTTTAAATTAGTTTTATATTCCTATCAAGTGCGAGTTTTTTATTGTATGATAAGGGAATTTTTTGGGTATAATTTAATTAAGGTGCCAAGAATAAAGTGTAATACACTTTGTACATCTTGTTAGAATATAGTCTATGGTAAGGATGCTTTATTGACTGTTTTTCTAACAGTTAATCTTGATTACTTTATTTCTGAAGATTTCTATTAATCTTTAATGTTTATTTTTTATTATTTATTAATATTCCTATATCTTTAAGCCTTTTACTCTGTAATAAGATTAAATATCACTGCCAACTTTTCCTATTTAATATTATAATTACAGCAACCTTACTTTTTCTGTAATCTAACATATCATATTTAAATATTCTCATCAAAGACTTAATAGATTTGCATTATATCTGAACAATTGACTATATTAACAATTTGTAAACTTTGACATGAAGCTCAAATTAATAAGCAATCAAAAATTGTTCGATTGTTCAAATTGTTCAATTTTTGATTGTTTATTGAATGTTAATAATAATGTAACTACTTTCATAATCTAAAAAATGAATACTTAGTCGCATTTTTTTTACTTAAATCCTACTGTCATAGAAGGTAAACTTTAATATAAAAATAGAGACAATAATGATAATAATAAGACAATTGTGCGTGTTACTTTTAGAATAATTACATTTTGTAGCATAATGAGATTTGTAATTATTAAAACATTTTTTCTTTATATTTTAATCGGTATGTATTTTACTCTAAATAATGATATGTACAATTACACTGCTGACAATAATTTTAGGGAAAAAAATCTGAACACTATTGTGGATAATCCGACAATCAGATTTATATCACTACACGATCGCGTGTAAGTACAGATTACAAAGTGACATACACAGTAACAACACATGTGCTTACCCCAAAGCACAAACATCTTTTACAATTGCTTTAGCAACTGTATTACCTTTGCCCGCAAAGTACTTTCGTCAAGTGCATTCTGTTCGTGCAGGAAATTAAGAACTGAATCAATCAACACCATATATAACAGCAATTTTCCTTTATTTATATCAAATAACAAGTAAGAAAAACAAGTTAAAAGTTCATTAGCTTCGAAGTGCATGAGGTCACTAACTAACATACACATTTAAAGGTAGCTTCGACCTTGTGAAACAATGATTGCCAATGCAAGAACTCATTTTGTTCCTAATTTCTAAAAGACTGTGTGGGGAGTTTGACAAACAGAAGGAAGACAGTGAAATAAACACACGTGACAGAAAAAGTGCGCCAAATTGAAATGGTGTAGCAAGTAATAATAAAAATAATAAAATAACGATGAATGCGTTTACGTTTTCACAATACATTAAACTATTATCTAGAAATATATAAATCATCGCACAGATTATCAGTTTAAATAATGGTGATTGTAGAATCTGTCTGTCAACAATTAGTATGCAAATAAAAGTATAAATAAAATAATTATAAAACAAATAATTTTCATATTTGCTAAAATTAAAAAGACAAATAGTGAGTTAGAGTCTATCAGATTTCATTAAACTGACTCAGAATTAAAAAATATGACTAATGATTAAAATTTATTGTTAACAATAATGCATAGGAAGTTATTTATTTTTTATCATGGACAACCATTTAAGGTATGTGCATTCGTCGACATTTAATCTTATATTTTCTTGTATCTTTCAAGAATTTATGGCATTCGTGAATATCAGCAGTTTGTCTTTCTGTTCTAAAATCAATTATCTAAAGTAGTACCATTAGGATTTAAGGATGGAGGAGATACAAGGCATAAAATGCTATACCAATATATACCAGCAGATATACATCATTTTAATATTATTTGTAATAATTTCATTGTACAAATACATTCATACATATCACACAAGCATACCATACGTCAGTAACGTTCAGTCAATGTTTTACGTTACTAAAAGACGCGGAAGATCAAATGAAAAAATAATAAATTATATAAATTTTTTAAAATCTACAAATTCATTGATATCGGAAAGTATGTGAAATGATTCAACAATATGTCGCGATTAATGGCGTTTCGTGTAGAAAAAGAAATTGGATATACGTTGCACTTTTGACAACATTGACAGTTATGGTGATTTCCACAACATTCCAGATTGAATTAACATTTTTGTCGAACTGTGTACATCTGAAAATTGTTTACAGACCCGCAACGATAAAGGTCGCGCAACGTCGAGAAATCAAGAGTAACTATACATTGTATAGCGGCTCTAGAATAAGTCTCTCAAATATTATCACCTCACATTTCTTATTATTACAATTCATCATGTTCATCATCTTTTTCGCTCTCGGCGTCGATATCTTCCGACACCTTCTCCGTATCAGCTTCACTGCTCGACGTCTCTTCTTCCTGCTCTTCCTCGGGCACCTCGTCGACGGAAATGCCCAGGCTCTTCCTCATCAGCTGCTCCACGCTGTCAGCGAAACTGGCAGTCTCGCGTAACATATAGCCGGATCGCAAGGTGGCCGTACGGAACATCATCAACGCGATGTCCTTGGCAGTCTGATCGGACGTGTCGACTACGACTCGGCGTAACAGTTCTCTGATGAGTGGATGTCTCGGGTTGATTTCCAGGCTCTTCTTCTGGTTCATATAATAGCTCTTCTGCGGATCGTCACTCTTCTGATGTGCGTTCGAAATGGCGAGCCGCTCCATGTTGCCAGTCCAACCAAACATGCTGGCGACCAAGGCACAAGGTGAGTCAGTTAGACGCTCTGACACCTGTGCTTTGCTGACGTGATCCTTCAGAATGTCATTGAGCCATTTGATCAGAGGCTCGAATGTCGTCTTCAGCTCCTCCATACGTTCCTTCGCCCGCTCGCCCTCGTCGAGCGTAAAGCCCTCCTTCGCCACGTTCTGGAACTTCTTACCGTCGAACTCGGGTAAAGCCGAAATCGCGTACTCATCCACGGCCTCGGTCAGATACAGTACTTCATAGCCCTTCTTGTCCAGCCGCTCGACGAACGGCGATTTCTTCACTTCGTCTTCCGACGAGCCGGCGATGTAGTAAATGTGTTGCTGATTCGGCTTCATGCGGGACACGTAATCGGCCAGGAAAGTCGGTTCCTTCTGCGTAGACGACTGGAATTGCAGGAGCTTCGACAACCTCGCGCGATTCTGTGCGTCCTCGATTATGCCCAGCTTGATGTTGGTGCTGTATTCCTTCCAGAAGTTCTCGTAGTCCTCCTTGGGGATTTTCTTGATCATATCTAACACTTTCCTGATCAGCTTCTTCTTGATAACCTTGATCAGCTTGTGCTGTTGCAGGTTCTCGCGCGAAACGTTGAGTGGCAGATCGTCGCTGTCCACAATACCGCGGATGAAAGACAGATAATTCGGCATCATGTCGGTGAACTTGTCAGTGATGAAGACTCGTCTGACGTATAGCTTGATATTGTCGGATTTAGTGCCATAACGATTAAAGCTGTCACTTGGTTGCACCTTCGGGATGAACAGGACGGATTTGAACGTGACCTCACCCTCCGCGACAAAGTGAATCTTTGCCAGTGGCTCCTGATTGTCTTTGGTAAGCGTTTGGTAGAACTCATTGTACTCCTTATCTTCGACCTCGCTTGGCTTCAATGTCCAAATTGGCTTCGAGTCATTCAGCAGTTCCCAATCCCATACGGTCTTGTCCACCTTCTTAGACTTCTTCTCCTCGTCCTCCTCTACCTTCGCATCGTCCTCAGGCTCATCCTTCTCCGCGTCCTCCTTCACGTCTTCCGCGTCGACTTGCACAACTTTACTGTTCCACAAATAGATGGGGAAGTTGATGAACTGTGAGTACTTCTTCACTAAGGTCTTTATCGTGTCCGGCTCCAGGAAATCCAACGCTTCCTCTTTCAAATGTAAGCTACAAAAAAATGAAATAATTAAAAAATGGAA